ATAATACAGCATGAAACTACTTTACCTAATAAAGGGCAAATTGACTTAAAAATAAAACACGGTATTGACCAATTTAATTTATCCACTGGATAATAGATTTCAACAATTTTGCTCAGATTTTGAAAAATTTCGATGTTGTTCAGTTTGTTCATTACCTATGTCCATGGCATATGGTTTATGTTAAGCACTCATGCTTTTGTAAGTATAAAAAAAAACCCATCATTTTCATTTTCTGTGATAATATCCTGTGTTGATGTATACCTTTTACTTATGGGATGCAAGTAAGACCTATATTTTGCTTTTTTCGATATTAGCTCAAGTGGAAAACACAGGGTAATGTCATTTTAATGTTTACAACATTTGCATCATATAGTAAACTTGTAGAAATCTCAGAGTTGGAATGGAACTCAGGAAAGAACATAGTGCACTGCTAGAGCATGCTATTAATTAATGTCTGGACAATTATTAATAAGCACTAAAAAATTTATTCATTGTAACATTGTGTATTGTCTGCGTTTCAGTTGAACTATAACCGTTTTTACAGTGGAAAGTCTGATGATGATCACTGCACCCTCTTCTCCGATCGAAGTCTAATAAACAGACGAAATGTAAATGGTGAACCAAAGTTGGCCTACCGAGCTGACAGGGATTTCTTGGAAGTGGAAGTGAAGACGCGAGTTATAGCAGCTGCAATGTCAACTCTTGATTTCAAAGACAAAACAGATACTGCAAAGTCGTCACTGCCAAGCAATCTTCAATTAATGATGAAGTCTGAAAGGCACAAAGCACTGGTAGATATTTCAGCTAAGGTGGTTGATGAATTCATATTTGACCAGGGGAAAGCAAGTGTTATGGTGGATGCTGTGCTATTGGAACAGGAAAAAGAGAACTTGCTACAGCAGGGTTTGAATGAAGATGGGCGTTTTCCATGTCGGTTTGAGGGTTGTTCGAAATCATTTGCATTCAATGGAAAAAGTAGAAGAAACCACGAACTATCTCACAATCCTCCAGTTGTCATTGAAGAGCAGAACACATTTTCTCCCTCAAAACCAAAGCCTGAAGATCCTTCCTTACCAAATTTAGATGATATATTCAATTATAACTGCGCACTTCTGGCTGATGGTTATCTTTTTTTAATTTTCTCGATGCAGTGAAAGAAGGAGATGGGGAACGCATCATGCGACAATATAAGTATATAATGTTATACTGTAGAGCTGATGGTAGTGGTAGTGCGAAATATGCACTGGAGTGCCTATATCAATTTTTCTTAGTACATGCTCTTTTGTCACCCAGAGACAGCGAGAGATTTGTTTGAAACAGGTCGGTCAACAACCACAATACTCGTGGCACAAACATACCCCTGGATCTTGACGTTGAACATAGTAATAACTTCCTGAAGCAATGTATAAAGAATCTGGGCCCTAATGTAAGTGAAGGAGCAGTTTTGCAAGTTTGCAAGGCTGAGAAAAGCACTAGAACTGTTTTAGATAACATTGACTGTTCTCTAAATGTAAAAAAAGCATCCACTAAACATGGTAAAACCTCCTGTGATGATGACATTGAAGCTCTAGTTAAGAGATTGGTTGACTTACAGGTGTTTAAAGAACATGCAGAGGGCCGTTCATATTATCATTATACTGACTTCGAGAGGAACAGACTTGAAAACCTAAGCATGTCTGAAATGTATAAATGGATCAACAAGCACAAAAAGAACATTAGCATTGGAATTCGAGCCAGGTGAACTCAGAGACAAACAATCCTTTACAATGATAAATTGATTATAAAAAGCACTATATTAACAGCACTCTGTAGAACATAATTATAGTTATAATAACAACGATGATACTGTTATAAGGTATGAACTAGCCTCCTAAGCAGGCAGATTAAAATCTCTCTTTTCCTTTGTTGGTATCCCTGTGCTACTGTATTTCCACAGGCATACAGTCACTAATACATTGATAAGCAATAGGTGTTTTRTCTTACCATACCTTTCTCATCTCATAGTCAGAAAGAAAACTACAGAGGAGGCTTCTTATGAACATTAAGTTTCTATAATGTGAAAAAAATGGATGCATTGAAAAACATGTTTAGTGATCATTAATAATTATTGCACTACAAATGTTGTATTGTTCAATTTCATTATGTTATGTTTTTCAACCATAGAAAATTATATACCTTTTTAATTGGATTAAAAGTTTTATGAAGCATGATCCTATTAGGATACTAATTCCAAACATTTCCAATATCACTTGTACCAATGAACTCATAATAGAGTGAACATGCTTAATTTGTGAAACAAATACTAGTAAAACTACTAAGTGGTGTTGATTACACAAAAGAGAACAAGGGAATTAGCATAACTTAGTAGTATTTAATAGTAATGTTTATATTTCACGGATAAAGTATGTTCACTCTAGAATCTGTTTTAGTCTTACTTGATACAAATAAATTGACATATACCACAAAGAAAATTGTGATATCTTTACTTTTAATTCATGTCCATGTTGCCCAGCACATTCTGCACCACATCAGGAACAGCAGCAAAAGAAGTGTCACTTATCTCAAGATTACTGAGGTTTTCTTTGAGCAAAGACATATTTTGTAACATGGAAATATCCTGTAAGAAAACATCTGTAACCTTTGCTAACAGCTCATCATCATCTAAAAGTGACATACACTCCTCCACCCACAAGTCATCCATGAGGTCATCTATGTCAGCTTTGTCCAAATTATTCTCATCAGTGTCATTGAATGTGTCTGCTAATACTTGCAATATCTTATTAGCATGCCTCAGATCCCAAATCTCAATATATTCATAAATGTCTTGTACTGTAAACAAAGACTCAATGTTATTCAACACTTGTTGAATTTGGAGCTCGGAGAATCCTAGCACAAATGATATATCAGTGAAAATATTGATCTGGCACATTGATGTTGTTTTCAAAAGGTTCCTTACTAATTCTTTGTGGTATATGTTCAGTTCTTGACAAACACTTGCCTTTTGCTCATGAGACACCTGTCTAGTCTTTCTTGCAGTGTTGGCATTAGTTTTATATGATGGGATTTCAGTACTTTTTCCACAACTTGGTAAGCTACACTTGCAGACCATTGCGCAGATGTCACAACATAAATGCAAATGAGAAATGTGGGTAAATTCAGCTTCAAAATGTTTCATAAGACCCTTTCGTCTACATTCTGAACTTGTCGCATACATCGTCATGTTACCTTCAACATGTGCCAATAGTAGACCATTGTACAGGAGAATTGCTTGAGCTGGACTTCCATCCCTCCCAGCTCGACCAGTTTCTTGAGCATAAGATTCTATATTCTTCGCAGGGCCAAAATGCACAACTCTACTCACAGCTTTGCAATTTACGCCCATTCCAAAGGCTATTGTTGCGACCAAAACACGTATCTTGCCAGCTTCAGTTGAAAAAGACTCCATAATTGTATTTTTGTTAGCCACAGGTGTGCAAGAGTGGAGCATTTCCAACATAGCCTCATCATTAGGTGTAAACATGTCTTTACCAAGCAGACCTCTGATTGTAGCATAAATAACACCACACTGTTTAATAGTTTGACAGTAGACAATAGTTCTAGCACATTCTTCCTTGTTGGTTCTCAAGTCATCTGCCAGCCAACCTAAATAATATACAATGTCCACTTCCTTTTCCATGTAATGAATGGAGTAGGTAAGGTTGGGCTTATTTGGACTGTCAAAAATAACGTAAGGTTCTTTCATTAATAGAATGTCAAATATTGTGTCTCTTGTTTTATTAGTTGCTGTTGCTGTTAAAGCCACAATTTGCTCTTTTGGGGCAAGGCTTCGGAATTCATGTAGTCTTGCGTAGCACTCACGGAACACAGCATGGTCATTAGTGCTTGATGTACCCCTGAGAAGTAAAATCCGACAGTTTTTATTATCTTAGAAATATTATTATGGTATTATTGTGTACATAACAGTTCTTTTAAAGAAATAATTGTGCTGACAAATGAGCAACGTATACAAAGCAAGCATTTTCTAGAATTAAGCCACGAGTTTATCGAGTCTATTCTCATCTCAGGACGAATTAAAATTAGAAATTTGAGCTCATTTTGAGTAATTCAGTTTAAGAGTATTTATATTTTTAAGGACAATACGTTGAATTTTGACCGAAGTCAACAGCTAACTACTTCAAAAATTAGTCAGCTATTTTCCACCAAGAAATGACTCACCATTGCCTTATCACATGGGCTTCATCCACTGCGATAGCACACAGCTTTTCGGAGTATACTTTATTAGTCAACATTGATCTCCAACGATCGTTATCGAGCCAGGATTCAGGTGTCCCATACACAAGCGAATATTTTCCGGCTTCTACGTCTCTGCGATCTCCTTCTTTTTCGACATGACTTATGTTTATTGCAGAAATACCCAGGCTATTCAAATAGGCAACTTGATCCTTGCTTAGATTAAGAAGCGGGCAGACAACAACAACAATACTCCCCTGACCAGCCATTACCATGTCGAACATCGTTGGCAGAGCTTGGAATATCAGCGATTTGCCATAGCCCGTTGGCAAATTCACAAAAATATCTCTACCCTGCATAAATTTTTCGATTGCAACCTTTTGATAAGCATTTAGCTCTTTAAATCTGAATTTTTCGCAAACAGCTTTGAGTGCCTCTTCCACAGCCGCCATGTTGAATTTCCAGGAGGCGGGAATGGCTTCTCGATTTCTAGAGTCGCGCTCTGATTGGCTAACGGAATGTGGTGCTGTTTGAAGCAGCCGTGTCTGTGAGGCAGCGTTGCGTGACCGAAACATCACGGCTGCGGGGAGACTAACCGGTAACCGGTAACCGGCCTTAAAAACAGAATTCTATTTACTCGGTCTTATTTTGTTTTAGTTGCATCTTTTTCATGGTTTCAGGGAAACTTATCTTAGCAGATTTGCAATTGTATAAAAGCTTCAAGAGTCATGAATAGGAAGAAACATGGAACAAAAGCTCTTTCGATACAGCTTACGTTTCCCACCCACCAGATACATTTGAACACGTCATGCCATGAGTTTGTTAAAAATCCCACCAGCAGCTAAAAAAACAAAACCAGAACCTGAACCTGACAAATGATTGTATTGAGGTTTTGTTTGAAACATTCAGAAATTGTCTTTTTTTTGCTTCGTTTTGGATCCCATCTAGGAAAATAGTGAAATATCATACAGGTATATCATGAGTAAGAAATTTCTTCGCCAAAGATTTCTTATTCGCATATAACTCACGTGAGTGCCAAGTATTTGCGTCGACGCTCTCAACGCTCCTCAACTTTTCCTGCAATTGAAGTCGATGGCCTTGTCGTTCAGATTGTTGGATGTTGAAATGTTGGAAAAATGCTGAGCGAACTTCGATGACAGGGAGGTATCAAAAGTTCACAGTTTGTTTTATTTCCATATTTTTCAAGCAACACCGGATTGTGGTAATTAGCATCGCCCTCTGTTTGAACTTCGGGTAACTACTAATACAGTTTATCACCAATGTATCACCACTGCCTGTTCTGCAGAGTGACAACTGAAAATTACTTTTATTTGGCCTCAAAAATGCCTAGACTGTGATAATTTTTAGTTCGCTGACTGTGGTATCATTACAGCGCATCCTGCAGAGAGAAAGAATTCGTTGAAACAGACTCTTTCTGTAATTTACAGAAGTAAGAAACAGCCAATGAAATTCGAATGATAAAACAACAAAGCTGTAATGAAAACCAAAAATTTCAAATGGGCGGGGGTTTTACCCTAGGTTAGTTTCACTTCCAAAGAATAACCGCTTCAAGACACGACATTTAATTAAGTTTCAAAATATCTAACTTACAGACTAAACCTTCAAACTTAAGATTTAACCTTTACTCCTTGTAAACGTTATATCTTAGAAAAACCTTGGACTTTAGACACGATGGCAAACTGGGGAAACATTCTTTATTGACACGTTTCACAACAATTAACAAATTGTGTTCGGGTCCTTGTTTATTTAAATGAGTGACTCCTTTGCCAAATGTCAGTAGCTGGACACCCCGGCGAGACGTACTGTAAAAAAAAAAAAATCAAGTGGCAAGAATTCTGATCTTCATCATTTCGGGATCCTCGTTAGTTCGTTGCCCTTTATCCTCATTAGCAGTTTAACAGACTGATCTCCCCTTTCTACCCTAAAGGACCACGTAATCTTTTTGACACTAAGGAAGGCAGCAGAAAGTGCTGCAATTGTAGAAACCACGCCGGGGTGTACTTGATTGGTTTCAGTTCCTTTCAGTGCGTAATCATCTACATAAAAAGCATTGCAACCCATGAGTCATTTTCGGAGGAAGGGGAATTTTTCCAACGTGAAAGAAAAACTAACAAGGAGACGAAAATTGAAAAGAATGAAAAGCTTTGCAATATCTTTTGGCTGATGTCCATTGTTTGGTTCTTTTTAGCGGTGGGCAAGACTAATCTTTCCACTGTTAACAATCCTTTTGTCCTTTTGACCATAGGGCCTATGTCAAAAATTCAGTGTTACAACTGACTTCAGTGGAATCATGATTATGTAAAGATTATTTTTCTTTGCCTTTATGATAGAAAATCTCGTAGCTCTTGTACACTAAACCTCGACAAAACCTCGACACTTCTTTGAGAATCAATCCTCTCACTTGTATCGAAGGCAAGTGTTTTTCATTAAGCTTGACAAAGATGCTCTCGACCTGTTACGGTTTGCTTGAACGAAATAAAATGCACTCATGCATTTCATGTTGTCATTTTGTTTCAGTCTTCTCCTGAACTCTTAAGTTTTGAAACCCATTCGGCGAAACTGAAATTTAGGTCCACACCAGAAACTGTAAAACTGCGAGATTGCCAACTCGTCTACTTAAATATTAAACTCTAGCTATTCAATTTCTTCACTTTCGTCCAAAGGTTTTTTTCTTTTTGGTTTTCTTGCTAAAAGGAATTAAGATCGGTCACCGTTTGGGTAAGTAGTGTTGTGAAACTGATTCATCGCTATCAACGCTAGTTTGGTTACTAACCCTCTGTCCTTCTATTGAATGCCTACTTACTGCTGGCTGGTTGTCATCGTAAAAGTCGTTTTATTAAGATATATAATTTTAAGAAGACACTGTAGTGTATGAGGAAATTTTTTTTTATTAAACCCTCATCAGACTTAGCTAAGATGATCATTTAGAGTAGCACATGTACTCTGTCTCAGAAGTTATATTACATATGGTTACACTCAAACGGGATGCGGTTAATATGTAGAAACAGAAACCATTTTTAGTACGTTAGCGATTTGGAAAGTTGTATTTATTGGCATTAGGGCAGTGAAACGGTGATCTTTCTTCGATGTCATCGCTCTTCTTCGCTTCAACACGTGTTCTAGCGATTGCTATTATCCTTATCGGCAGTGATGCCTATCCATTGATTGATAAAGGTGTAATTTCTAGTCGACCACTCTTCGATTACTTGTGGATCGTCTGGGTATCAGAACCTGTCGGTTAGGGGGGATTTATAAGGAATATGAGGAACATAGTAAATGCCATGACCATTTCCAAATTTCAGCCATCTACTGAAATGTTCCATCAGCAAGTATTCACAGGTCCCTGTCTTATAACCAGTCTCAGTCTCCACTCTCCGAAATTCTTTGTTTTGAACGTGTTGAATGGGCTCGATAGGGTTTCCTTTTATTCTGTCATTAGTTCTGTTGGATATGTAGCCCGTGAAGACTGTGATAGAATGACTGATGTACGAGAAAAGCGAAGACTAAAGTCACACGACATCTGAAACCAATCTTTGTGTACGTGTCACACTTTTGATCGTAAAAGAAGTCCACATTTATTTTCCTGAAAAAAAAATGAAACGAGTGCTTAAAGAATTTAATTGTTTAAGAGTTTTGACGGAGCTCACTGCGCAGTATTTAGTATTCGAGAGCATTCTTGCACGTAGTCCAAGTGTTTGCACTGTGTCCCCCTCATTTTACTAAAAGGTCAAGGCCGGCAGTGTTTAAATGCCCATGGTTTCAGTCACGTCATCCAGTAACATGTATGAAATCTCGCGGAATAATACACGTGAGTGGAAAGAAGTCTCTACTCTTGCACTTTGCTATCTTTTATCATCTCGCTTTGTGCAAAAGTCAGTAAGGGATTTTCAGATAGACGTGCACCCGAACGGAAATTAGCCCTTAATCTAAAGTGGCTTTTGTCGTAATAACTTACGTAACTGACTGTGCACTGGGTAGGTGGAAATGTGACGCCAGCTGTTACTTGATCAGCTAAAGTCATATCGCTATCCTAACTTAAAAGTCGGTTAGAAGCCTGAAAAAGAGATAAAAATATGCTTGAACGTGTCACAAATGAAGGTTAACTCCTATGTTTGTTATAGTTGAGGAAACATGATTATAATCTATGCGGGTCAACTACTTATAGTTTTAAACTTTCACGGGCGACTGACGGTTTCGAAACTTAACGTGCGTATCAGGATCTAGTCTTTAATTAGTATTTGATTCGCGAGTTTTCCATTGGCAGTTTCAGTAAAAGAAGAGCACTGAGTGTCATTGCCTTTAATCCTCAAGCTCCGTTAAGTTATTAAATGAAGCTGACTCAAGCTTATCTCCACGTTGTGTAAGAGTCGTTTACCCACGTCATTCAGGTTAATGAAAACAGTTCACTTCCTCACGTAGAGTTGTTAAAATGCATCTAGATGCGAGCAGACCACCTTCGGTGTTAGCGCCGAGCGTTTTTTCGACCACGAATAAGTGTAAGGTCTTGAGCAAAACCGGTAGTAGTGATACTCTCCCAAATGTCTTTCGAACCTGCTGGTAGGCTAGGATTATCAGTGCGTTTGCGCCGAGGTTTGAGCAAACACACTCAGCGGTTCGACTTGAATTCCCAAGTTCAAAAGAACCAACATCCGGTAATTAAGGCATAAGAGAGTTGACGTAAGTCAGTGATAATAGCTGTGCTGCGTAATGCTTAGGGAGTTCTCAGTTAATTCGTGCTCAGTAAGTCGGGTTTTTACAGGAAAAACTTTTTAAAACAGTACTGTTTTTACGAGGCAACCATATTTTTAAATTGAGTCAGTTTGCTAGACATAACGTCTTTCATCACAGCATATTTTTAAAATTTATGTCCTTTAAACGGATGCGACCTTACTTGATCCACTTGAAGTAGTGCAATCAGGTATTGAATTTGTGAGATAACTTTTCTAGTGCCTTGAAGTGATGTATACAACGAGTTGTTAACACTTAAAAATGATTTCAAAATATCTTAATCGTATTGTAAAATTGTACTCGTAAATTGACGTATTTGGCTCTAAGATCGAAGAGAAATCGCGTCTGCCGCTTAAATTCTGTTTGGTAGATGTGACGTTGCCATAATATCGAGATATTTCGCTGTAATGCCTCAAAATCTCCAGTGGCTAATGACCGTGAGAGTTTAACATAACATTGCTTTGCCTCGACTGTCAAATCGTAACAAAAAGCCTCTCGTTTATCATTAAAGGTACAAGTGATATCCCTACCGAACGTTAACTCCATTCTTAATTTGCTATCTTCGGAAGTCCTTTCTAACTCGGATACAACGAATGAAAAAACGAAAATATTGATTATTCTGCTTCTATATACTTGCACGCTGTTTGCGATCTGCCAGTTAAAAGTTAAAATGTTGCTGAGTAAGTAAATATCAACTTAAAGTGCACCTACACCCAAAACATTTTTTTCGCTTAACGAAG